TTCATTTACTGTGCCTCAAAACTGTGTGTCCGTGGCGTGGCGCTGAAATTTCCACCTTTCGCACTGAAGAGTCTCTCTATGAAAGCGTAAGTCTTTTGCAGTGTCTGAATCGTGTGACAACATAGAGGGGGCTCCCTCAGCTTCTATGAGGGCTTGGGAGTTGGGTGACCTGTGCAATGTTCCTTATCAACCACATCTGTATATAAAAAACTGTATATAGTGTACATGTTACTCTTATTCTGTTTTTGTAATGTGTATTTTCTTATCTGTTGTGTTGTATCTGGAGCTGCTGTAGGGAGAGAATTTCCCCAGTGTGAGATCAATAAAGTCTATCTTATCTTGTAATTTACAAACATTCAGGTAAACAGCAGCCTACAGATTGATCTCAGTTTGTACATGCTAATGATGAATCCTCCATGCACACTAAAGTTAGTCACAGAGTTCCACAAAGTTCTGTGCTTGGATCAATTCTATTCACCTTACACTGTATAGTATGCCTTTAGGCAACATTATTAGGAATCACTCCATTAACTTTCATTGTTATGCAGATGATACCCAATTATATCAATTGATCAGGCCTAATGAAATTAATCAGTTAGCTAAATTACAACCAAGCATCATCATTATTCATCATTGTTCAGTTTTTTTTGTATAGCGCCAATTCATAACAGCTAAACCTTTCACTATATCCTGACAGTAGTAGGTTCCTCTGGCTCCTCCTAGTGCTCCTAATGGTATATAGACGATGGGTTTGGAGGCTTGATGATAGTTGATTGTTGAGTCTTATTCCCAGCGTCCAAAAACAAGTCCAGCGTCCAAGTAACATACTGTAGCTTTAAGTATATGTTTTAGAAATATATGTTTTATTTAAAATATTTTTATGTTAATTTGAATTATATGTGTGGGGGACGGGGACATTTCTTTTCATTTTCAGCTAGAACACAGAACACTAAGTGAGGCAGTAAAGATTTTAAACTGTGTGACCACATGATCAGCCTATATCCTGTGTCACTCCATTCTGCATTTCTGCCACAAGAGATCACCAGCCCTCTGGGAGACCTGCAAAGGAGAGGCTGTAGTGTTTTTTGTGGAAAAGATTGCAGGTTATAAAAAAAACTATTTTGAGGAAAATGAATAATCTTTTCAACCTTTCGTGCATTCCAATTACTTAAATTATGCACACAAAAATCTAATATTAAGATTTCTCACCAAAATGCATTGCTTATACATTTTACAGCATCTTTAGTATGGCATAATGTGTTTATATAGTAAGAAAGGACAACCTTGAAAAGCAAGACAAATACAAATAATTGTATAACTGTTCAAAATAATTGAATAAACAACACATGCAAAAAGTCAGAGTCAGAAATCCTTAAATTAATTTAATCAGTAATATTTACATAACAGGAGCCATCGAACAAACTGTGGAGAGGATATAACATGATTAAAAGAAATATATTTGAAATTTATTCCGATTTCACCTTCCCTTGTTGATGCCAAAAAGATCCTGAAACACATTTCATGTGTCTTTATTAAAAAAGCAGGCTATATTATGACACAAAACCCCTCAAACTACAACCCCCTACATTAATGTAAGTCAAACTGAAATGGACAATGACAGTACTTCTCAGATTCATCACAACAGAGCCAACATCTAAAAGCTAAAGATCCATCAGAGAACTGAGAGGAAGATGTAAAGGTTTGTGACCAGTGAACACAATCTAGAAGCTCCTGTCTTTTCATTATCCTGGGTCAGTGAGTACAAACCCAAAAAATGCCCTAAAAAATAAAACAAAATTTAACCAATGGGAGCAGAAACCCACAATTTATACCAACAATTTCTGAACCAACATTACTTTCCTTTTTATAAAACTGTAAGATTTTACACTACATAAAATAATTGTATTTTACAACAATAGAACTTTAGGCAGTAAAATATGTTTTGATTGAGGTAATTACATCATGGTGCTTGTACAAAGTCAAAAATAAAAAAAATAGATTTTCATCTGTTTTTCCCTAAAAACACAACCACCCAACGCACACTTTTTATGTTGCTGTCACTTCTTTTCCAACTCTGCTGTTTTACGGACAATCCTCCTCAGTGAGATCAAACCTTTCATCAAGGACGGCAAACACTTGTCAAGTATCCATTTGGTAGAACCTATGTGTATTCACCTCTTCTTGAACATAAGAATTAGATTAATCTTCCCACTCTGACCCACCTACACATAGAAATGAGTCTTGTTTGAGATCTGACTGCAGGTAGCCCAAGTCCCATTCTCTCCTTAACCGCCATGAAACTCCAAAATTTCATTTTGACTTTTTGCTGTGATAACATCGCCTGATTTTGATGACAAAGATGTTGTCACTCTTCTCCCTACTGGTTTCGGTAAGAGTTTGCCTATTATATGGTGGGTTAAAGTTTGCCCATGATAGACAGATGGCTCACCCACGAGTATTTTTTAAAAGTGCCTGCCCTTTTCCAAACAGTTTCCAACGACGACAACCCAAACCATCTGGCATAGTCAGTTAGGAGTTCTCAACGTCCACACTGGAAGGCGGAGTGAAAAACCAGCATTCACAGAGAAAGGGGGGACGTAATAAATATGGCAACAGAGCACATTTTCAGAAAGTCTCTTCAGAAAGATATTCAGTGTTGAATAGGGCGGATGTAGCTCAGAGGCAGAGCGGGTCGTCCACTAATCTGAAGGTTGTTGATTCAATCCCAGGGTCCTCCCGCCACATGTCGAAGTAT